TCTCTGGGGCAGGGAGGGTCAATTTGGGTCTGATAGGATTAGGGAGAGATGAACTGGTTTGACCCTGGTCATGTCCAAAAGACTGGGGTGGGGGTGGGGGGAGAGTGCAGTCTCCATGTTGTTTGTTAGGTTGATTTTATCCACTACACAGCACATGGCATCATCTTCATATCAAGGTATACACATGTTCAGCTCTCTAAGAACACACTTCCTACATCACTGCAAGCCTTACCTTACACATTAACAAATATATTAAACAATGAAAAGGACATCATACATCCTTGTCTTTGTACATTTGACAGTCTTTGTCACTGTATTTCTAGTCAATGTTGAACCATTTGCTAAGCATTCTATACATGTTGTACCTCCATTATATACTATGGTTATCATATTCAAGCCATTCTTTGCACAAAACCCCCACAATTCAAGTCCATGCAACTTGCTTGGCTACAGTGCAGAAATGATTTCCCATTTCCACCTTGCAGCATGCTTTTCAGACTTCACAATCTAGCCTACAGCCCTGGATTTCCAGCTGGTCTCCCATCCAGTACTAATCAGATCTGACCCTGCTTTTCCAGATGAGCTAATCAGCGAGTTGAAGAGATTTTAACTGCTCTTCTAAAGATTGGAAGAGGGAGGGCAAATGCAAACCCCAAGGGGCTGTTCAGAGGCTCTGCGCGTGCTCTGATTCACTTGAATCTTTAGTTTCACAGTTTTTAAGGTGTCGGGAAAAAAGGGTTTTGAACCTGCAAATGACTGTTAAGAGACTTAGGATAGAGAGCTGCGAAAAGCTCAGGTCAGTTTTTCTGATGTAAACATGCGTCTACCGCTTTCTGTTTGTCAAAAGAAAAACAGAAAACCCGAGCCGAGAGGCGGTGTCTTCCTGAAGAAGGAGCCTCGATTCGCTGAACGCGAGTCTCCACCTCCTCTCCGTCTGGTGGAATCTCATGTGGAAAAGGAAAGCGCAGGGCGGGCTGCGAGCAGATCGAGAGACGGCTCGGCTGCGAGGAGCGTAGGGCCGGCGGAGAAAGATGGCCTTGTCGCGGCGGCTTTTGGTGTGTAGCATACTCTTGCTCAGCTGTCTCTGTAAGCAGGCGCTGCTGCAGAGGCTCCCCGGTGGACTGACGGAGGCTTCCCTGGAGGACCCCGGCGTGCGTCGGGCCCTTCAGTTCGCCATAAATGAGTACAACAGAGCCAGCAATGACATGTATAGTAGTCGCGTGTCCGAAGTCGTCAGAGTCCAAACGCAAGTAAGCGAGTTAATATCCCAGGCGATGGCGCGACTCTAGGGGTGGCGGCGCCGGGCAGGCTCCAAGACATGAGTTTAATACGTTTTCCGAGCGCGGCCATCAGGGAGCCGTGAAGTTAAGGCTGATACCTGTACGCTGTTAATGAGAGGGGCGTCTTTGTTTTCTAAGTGGAGTTGTAATCCCCCCTCGTTATTCTCCGAGTTTTCTTTTACGGCTTTAGCAGTTTAACTCCAACATAGTTCAGATTCCTCCTCCCCCTTTAGTATGTATGGAAGGGGATGGAGAGTTAACTGCAGACATGACTGGGACAAAGTCAGGCTTGTTACAATGTCTTCGGAACGCGCTCTCCTTTCCGCCCTCCATCAGCGCTTTTCAGAAAAGCAATACTTGGGAATGGGGGGGAGGGGGGAGCATTCCTCTGCCTATCTGGCAGGCAAGCCGGTGGGAAGATGGCCTGTTGTTGACTGGAATTCCTTGATCTAATTAGGTCAAAGAGCACCTCCCTTTTCCTTTCCATCACTTTTGCAATTCCCAGCCCATAACTTAGATAAGCTTGTTTGCAGTCCCTGGGTATAATCCAACTGGAAGCTCTTCTGTGAAAGTTCTTTTGAAAACTTAAACTGGAAAGAAAAACTGCACAGGAGTAAGAGTTACAAATGCCCTTAGCCTTCTAACTTTTGAGAGTACGATACATCCAGGTTCTGAGGTGGAACACTGTGTGTGTTTCATACATTTTGTTAATCAGAACAAGCACATTCTGTCACTTGTGCTGCTGCTTTTGATCCATCTTAATTAGCTACCTGGTTGGCATGTCCTGTGTTAGCTGGTATCATCAAAAGGAAGATGTGGGCAAGGAGACCTATATATGTGCATATGTATACCCTTCCCGCCCACACAATAGAGTTAGACCCTAGTTATTTTTCTTAATACTTTCATTCTGGCAACATTGTCATCTCCAAGATCACCAGTTTCAGTTCCTTCTTCCCTCCTTACTCCAGCTTCCTATATAATTTTACTATCAGTAGCATACTGTTCTCTCTCACTTGCCTGCTGTGTGAAACAGAAGAATTGCTGTTTGCAGCAGGGATTGAGCCATACAATCTAGCAAAATAGCTGTCTGTGCTGGCAAAATGCCACTGGCTTTATGCCTGGTTGAAGCAGCACCCAAGTTGCTTTCATTCACTGTTTCTAGTATGGTATGACAATTGACAGATGCACTCCGGGATCAAAGAAGCAGCTTTTGGGAGAACTCTTCATCTGCTTCACACTCCCAGTCTTCTGTAGGTCCATCATGACCCTTGGCATTGTCAGCTTTGCATTTATCCCTTCAGAGAACAGGAGTTCACTATAGCTGTAGGGTGTTTCACCCTTGCACTGTTTGAGCAGTTAGATCAGTGGAGATGAAGCTGCCATCAGTCACATCTACTTAGGGCTGGTCCTACCATTAAGCAGGTTAAGCAGCTTTGAGTGGCAAATATTGGGGGTGGAGACTGATGGTGGTGTGTTGGAGAACGGAGCTGCCCAATTCCTAAGTCTGTGGCAACTCTGCCTGCTGCAGCTGCCCTCTGGAACTAACATCCAGTGACCAATCTGGTCACTTTCCTTGTGGAAGACATGGGTGTCGTCTTGTCCTTTGCCACAGGCAGCAAAGTATAGCAAGAGCACCATACCGTGGTGCTTCCCTTGGGTGAATTAGATCCAGGTGTGGGTCCTTTGACCTCCAAAGGAATAAATCACCCTGTCTAAAAGGAAAAGCTCCCTTGTCTCACACTTTTTTCCATAGGTGGTAGTGGCAATAGTCACTGACATTTTTGCAGTAAGGCCTATCACTTGATATCCTGTACAGTCTTTAGCAGCCAGAATGCTAAATATTTTCAAGCCTAGCACTGGGTAATGCCATAATGTTGAGTATTCCAATTTTAAAGACCCATTTTCCATACCATGCAGGTTGTCAGCGGACTAAAGTATTACTTCACTGTTAAGGTTGGGAGAACAGTTTGCCGTAAGGGAGTAAGTGATCTTGAAAACTGTGCACTTCATGAAGGACCTAATCTGGCAAAGGTACGTGGCAGAAAAAAAGGACAATGTTTTAAGGACTAAGCATACATGATTGATCTCCCTTCATTCTGAGATATGAAGTGGTGTGATACCATGAGAAATGTTACATTAAACTGGAGGGAGGGAAACAAAATAACTTGCATCTTCTTCCCCCTCTTGGTGGTTTGCAAAGAATGCCAGATCACATAATATTGAGCCGCTGAAAATAGTATCCCAGCATAGCATCTTTTTTGTTATATTTGTTAATTTTCCAATGAATAGAATGCCCCCAACATTAAAAAAAAAAAAAAAAAGGTATGGGAATGGCAATACTTGAATTATCATTGAAGTGGGAGTTAAATCCACTTCTCTGGGACCCCAGGTTTTGTACCTCTATCAACAGCCTTGCTGATAGTAGTCAATTTATTTTGTTCTACAGTGGGGGATGCCAAAAACAGATCTTGACAGTCTGCATAGTGTGATTCTGGGTTCTGTAACTTCACTATGAAATCCAGCGTGGTGATTGCTTTACATAGCTTGGGCATGAATGGTATTCCAAGAACTTCTGTTACTGAACCCTCACTAAAACAAATGAGAGCTGCATAACTACTCCCAAAAATATTGGGATGAAATACGTAGGATGAGTTTGTTTTATCTTCAGTAAACTTGTGAAACTGGAGCCCAAACCTGACATTTTTCTAAATGTGTTTGCTTCTAATATGTAGTCTTTTAAAGAAAAATACCTTCAGTAAGTGACTTCCCTCCCAAGTAGATGTTCACTAGGAATACTGTATCTGGGCTGCAGAAATCCTGATGACCACTAGATGGGAGCAAAAGGGGAGTAGCCCAGGTATGGTAGTCCTCTGCAAGTGCAGAAGAGGGATTGTCCTCAAGAATTTAGTAGGGGAAACAAAAGTTATACTCCATACTCACCCTAATCCATTACAGGATTGCAGTCCAAAATCCATGAAAATATGTGGAGCTTATGTTAGTCACTACTAACTTGCACCATAGATTTCAGTGAGATTTTAATATGAGTCACAAGGAAGATCTTTGTAGCAGAGCCAAGGTTTTTCAGATCACAAGATCTTGTATCCTACTTCCAACCCATTTTAGCCACCCCAATTATGGAGGATTGTAAATACTGTGTGATTGTTCAGACAAACTGGACTCTTTCAGCAGTAGTCAGCAGATACAGCCAAAGACAGCTGTGGATCTCTGTGTATTGAGGGCTCTGTTCACTGTACTAAGAATTCAGTGTTTTTGTTTGGGAGGACGTTGCCATGCCAAAACTGCTTGAATTAGCTACCTAGTGACTCAGAAGGTTACAGCTAAGCAAAGCGCTAAAAAAAAATCCTTCCTTCCCTAAATAGTCACAAGATCTTATTCAGCAATGCATTAGCTGCAACATCAACATTATGTTCTCTTCACTAAATCAAAACAGTTGCAACTAATAGAGGTTTTGAGGATGTGAATAATTTAAAGAGCCCTAAGAATTTTCTTTTTCAATTGACAATGAAGATATCAAAGTGGTGGATAGCTTCTGCCTTTTAGGATCAGCTGTCAACAGTAAGGGAACAAGCAGTCAAGAAATTCAGCACAGACTAGCACTTGATGGAACAGCCATGAAGGCCTTGGAAAAGATTCTTAGATGCCGTGATGTGTTTATATAGGTAGTCCTCACTTAGCAACCACTTCGTTCAGTGACTGTTGAAAGGAATGTGGTGGCATTGGTAGACCCCTAGAAACCACAAGTACACTACACAAACAGCCCAGTGTATCCCCCATTGTGTGCCCGCTTACTCTCTTGTAATTTCTTCCCTCACTTTCTGTGAAGGGGGGGAAGAAACCAAGCAATATCTGTAGGCAATCTCTCCTGTACCTGACCCATTCCCCCCACTTCGCAGAATGGAGAGATTGGAGAGGAAGGGATTACAAGAAAGTAAGTGGGCACGCAGTGCAGAATATACTGGACTGTTTGTGTAGCACACTCATGCCACCACATTCCTTTTGATGTGTATTCCCCATTGTGTGCCTCTTTTAATCACTTTCTCTCCAATGAATGTAAATACAAACATTAATTCCCTTCTTGCTAATTATCCCAATGCCAGAGTGAGCATTGCAAAGGCCAGAGGAGTGGGGGAAAGAGCACAGTCGTGGTCATGTGATTTCCCACTTAGTGACCACTTCACTTAGTGAGGGAGCTGCCAGCCACAATTGTAGTCGCTATACAAGGACCACCTGTACCTACAAAGATTTGAATAGTGCAAACAATGGTATTCCCTGTGACACTTTATGGAAGGGAAAGTTGGACTTGAAGAAGCAGGACAGGAAGAGTATTGATGCTGTTGAACTTTGGTATTGGAGAAGACTCTTGAGAATACCGTGAACAGCCAAGAAACAAACAAATGGATCATCGAACAAATCAACCCGGAGTTCTCACTCAAGGCACAAATGAGCAGGCTCAAATTATCCTTTTTCAGACACATTGTGCAAAGTCCTAGGTCTCTGGAGAAGATTCCAATGCTGAGAAAGATGGAAAGAAAAAGAAGAGTAAGGTGGATAGGGGTGATAAGTGCACCATTGGAAAACCAGTTTAGGGACAGATCACCCTGGAGAAAATCTATGTGGTTGCTAAGAGTCTACTATGATTTGATGGTACGTAATCAATCAGTCTGTCCCAAAAGAGGAGAGGGAAACCCTTCCTTTTACTTTTAAAATACACTATTTGCTACTGTTACCTTTTTCCCTCCAGAAAAAAGACTTAAATGTTATTCTGTTGAAGTCCTGGATAAATGTAATGAGAATAGTAGAGTGAGAGAATTTATAAGACTCAAAAACATAACTTTACAGACAACTCATAGTAGAGAGATACTACTTGTTGTGACAGGAATGGGGATTAATGTCCCTAAACTATCAGCCTAGTTACTGTGACAGGAATGATGGGAATTATATTCCAACAATATTTGAAGGATCAGTTTCACCATCTCTGTCTAAGAAACACAATTGGGGAAATATGCAAATAAAGGAGCAGGGCTCCCATTGATATCTGAAGGACAATTTTTTTGAGTGGTGATCTGGAATAAAATTGATGCAAGGTTATGTAGGCCAACCCCACATTGACCTTTTCTACTGAGACTATATGGACACCATTCATTTCTGTGGCAGATATTTAGTATTACTTTTATTAGGGAGTTACCTACCTACCAACTGGGATGTGAGGATGAGTGGTTTTCACAAAAAGTTTATCAGCATTTGCTGTGGGTATTTGATACTTTTTAAATATTACTGTTTTAAAATAAGAGGATAACAACTACAAATGCCGCTTTTAATATGAAATTTCTGAAAATGAGAAAAGAGGAAAAAGTCACTCAAAATAAATGTCATGGATAGAACAACTCAAATTTGACCATGTTGCTTTTCTTGACCCTCCACCAAAAAGTATTAATTCACAATGAATGATTGATGACAAGAAATGGTTCAATAATCAACTGTGAATCAACTGTAGATTTATCTTTTCAGTATTGCATGATCATTACCTTGGTTAATCCCTCTACCCCACGTACCCATAATCTTTGATGTGTTGATAAATTCCAATGTAGGCATATAGCCAAGAAGAGCATGTGCATCTTTAATACACTACAATCAGGGTAAGGCCATATTGTGAGAATCCTGCAAATTTAAGATGAAGATGTAGCAAGTGAGGGAGAAGCCTACACTACATGAGTTAATGTTCCAACTCTCAAATTGACTGAAGTCAAGTTGATTTAGAGTATTCATACATTCAGGTGCTCTGTGATTACACAGGTCAGGTTTACCTTATCAAGAGTCTCTTATATTATTAAGAATGCCAGTTATGAAATGTAATATGAAATACTTCGTCTTCTTTCTTCTGTTTGCAGACTATGACTTGCAATTTTGAGGTTTACAGTATTCCTTGGATGAACAGTATTTCCCTTCAAAAAAGTAACTGCGCCTAAAAACATATTTGTGTCCTACAAGACAGCTTTCTGCTATTCTGATCCTGTTTCTCTAATCAAGATGAGTATCAATCCAGATACATTCTCAAGTGAGAATTGTTGCCGCTAATTCAGCCATGCTTATATATACATGAAGCAAATAAATTCATGTAGTCTTCCTTTTAGAATACTGTATAAACTTGTCATCTTATTTCACAAGCATAGTTTGTATCATAGTTAATTAGCAGAGAAAATCACATTAAAGTTTTTCTTGTCAAATATTAAGGTTTTTAAAGGTGTGTGTCCTCCTTTAATATTACTACTAAGAGTTAGCCACTGGAGGCTGTAGCTCTCACATGATCCCTAAATATGTGTTGCCCATGTATTTCACAAAACAGAGCACTCCTAATCTAGAAGCCACAAATCTTTCTAGTGGCAATTTTTGTTTTAGGTTTACATGGAAATGGTGTTAATGGGTAAAGGACTGAAGGTCTTCCCCCCACCCCCAAAGCGCGCTCCACCTATCCTTGAGTCAGCAGAAAACTACTGGCCTAGCATTTGTGTCCTCATTGTCAATCCTTATCCTTCTGTTGCCTTTCCTCCCAGTCACTGCTTATCCCCTAATTTCCCTCTGTTGAGATGGGTGACAAAACCTGAGGCTTTTGGAACAAGAGGGAAGCTCTACTTTTAAACCCAGTGCAGTTAAGGATGACTTAAGCCTCTCTCTGTTGTGGGCTGGGATGACTTTAAGGGGACTTGCCTGGAGTTTTCCTTTTATTTTATCTGCATCCTGAGTGGGGAGTTGAGCCTGGATCTCCCCTGTCCTAGTCCAGTGCACCACACTGGCTTCTCTTAATACTGATGGCCCTGTCTTTAGTCTGCCTGATTTTTCTGTTTGTTTGTTAAGTTTATTATTCCGGCCACAGAGTCTCTTGGCAGTTTACCATCCAAACAACAAACCAAAGTTGCTGAAGTAATTAAAAGTCTGTTTCAAGTAAGTGTTTTTAAAGCCTTTCAAAAATCTGGCAAAGAACTCAACCCTCTCAACTCAGAAGGGAGTGCATTTCAGAGCTGGTGGGCCTGCAGAGAAGGCTCAACCCTCAGATGATCTCAACAAGGTATGGGGGGAGGATCATATAAGATCTTTTCTCAAGTAACCTGGACCCAAGCTCTATAGAGCTTGAAAAGTATAGCACTTCATATTTCCTGCAGAAATAATTTGGCAGTCGTGTGAGTCACTCTCTGAGTTTTCTCAAAGACTTAAGCTGGCTGCTGAGTTCTGTACTAATCCTACAATTTGAGGCTAGGTGCAAAAAACTCCTCCACATACAGCACATGCTTCTTTTTTACAGGACAGCAACCCACATTAAATAAGACTTGGAGAAAATAAACCTTAATCAACAAAATGGAGGTTGCACCCTTCTCCCTGTCTTTTAGACATGATCAGGGTCAATCCCAGCTCATCTCTTTGCCTAATTCCATCAGACCCAAATTGACCTTCCCTGCCCCAGACAAAGCCCCCCCTGCCATCCCAGAGAATAGAAGCCTCCTTATCAGATCACAGTGCAGCCCACAGGCAACTCTAAGAAGGGAATTGCAATAGAACTCATCCCAGGTACACTGACAAGGACCTGCCTAGCTTCCCCAAAACTGGCCAGCCAATCAGATCCCTAGGATTTCCTGTCCTGTAGCCTTCATCTTTTATAAAAATCTTTGCTTTCCCCTTGTTCAGGGTCCTCTTACAAAGCAGGCACCCAACAATTGTTCCAATAAAGCTTCGTTTTTCTCAATGTTGCACACCTTCAGATGGAATCTACAAGACTTAATAAAATCTACAGGATTGTAATGGTATGTGGGAATGACCTTGGGAGACTGGGTGAAGAGATGCTGCCTAGGGAAAAGTCAGATAAGAGGGAGCATAGCCCGCAGCTGCATAGTGAGCGGAGCAAGAAGCTCAGAAGGGACCCTCCCTAACTTACTAGGCTGTAAAGGTGACGGTGGGAGAATTGTACTTTCAGACTTGCAAGATTCTGTTAATGTGGCCTTACAATAAAGTAGAAATAGCTCATCTGGTCATGTTTCCTGTCTGGTCTACCTGGGAAGGCTGACAAAATACAACCTACAAAATAGAACATACAAAATAAGGCATACAAGGTGAAAAAGATACAATCATGCTTGCACTATTCTGCTATCAACAAAGTGATAAAGCAATGTTTTACAAGCTGCAAGAACAAACTTTGCAATGGCAAGAGTTACCTTGGGGTCCTTATCCACCAGTAAAAATTGAACATAAAATTCTTTGGTCGATCCATCCCATTGTATTTCTTAAGCCTGGAGGTTAACATCCCACATACAACCATTTTAAGGCCATTTTCTTCCAAGACAATACAACTCATTTACATTGGATATATTAGTGGTTTTAATCTTCAGTTGCTGTGTGATTCATGGTGTGTGTTTGTTACATCTACAATGTCATTTTTTACTGAAAAAAGACTTCTCTGAAAAACACTGGCCTTTTCATCCTAGCTCCCATAGTCTCAGCTCAAATCAAAATCAAATCAGTTTATTACAGCCATCAGGCCAGGTACAATAAAATAGCTAATACTAGAACTTATACACATCTATATATATAACAGAAAAATGATAAGTATAATAGCATCTAAAAATAAGCATATATAATAAAACAGAATAAAAATAGGATTATAAAAAGCGAGTAAATAAGTATCCAAACTTAATCAGTGGTGCAGCATATTGTATAGATGTCTGAAAGAAGTAACGAGAAGTAGAAATTACACTCCCTACTCAAATTTCTTCAAGATCGGATAAATGAAGTCTAGAGTCCCTATATAGGGAGCAGCGTAGTAGTATATGGCTTAGAGCAATCACCACATGGACATAACTGAAGATACATAGGAGTACCGTTAAAACATCCAAAAAGGACTACTGAGCGCAATGCATCCAGCCTGGCTAAAGTGAAGGTCTTACAAAATGTCAGAATCATGATGGGTGATAAATAGGAGGCTGGAGTGAACCCTTTTAGAAGAATATGAGAAATATTGGGGTGTGACACCTTGCTTAAATTTGTTTGGAGATCTATATCCCAGATTCGTTGTTTGAGGGCAGTTCTAGCATTACCAAAACCTAATGAGCACAGACTTTCCATAGAGAAGTCCAGTAAATGACTTTTATTTAAGGCTTTTTTAAGCCATGATGATTTAAAACAATCTCTTAAGTACTAATGGAATCAAACCTATAGGAAGTAGGATTAACTTTAGCCAGAAGGCAAAAAGAAGAAACCATGCTCTAGCATCCAACGAGAAAGTGCCTGTCTGCCCGTAAGATGGCATTTTTGATACTTTTTGGAACCATCAATATGGGTGTAATAAACTTATTTTGAATAGTTTCAAGAATGTTAAGCTTTGCAAAACAGCAAATTTGGGAGCCATAGAGAAGCTGAGAGACTGCCTTAGGTTGGAAAACCTTGCAAGCTGCAGGGATATAATGAGCCACTTTTGAGTGGCAAAACCTTATGATAGCTGTAGAGGTATGCTGTGTGACACTTGCCTGGTAAAAAAAATGAGCATTCCAGGATAGAGAAGCATGGAACTGCACTCCAAGATATTTATAGGTGAGCACCGCTCAATTTGAGTCCCACATACAGTATTTGCCATCCGTGAATTTTATGATAATGCTGGGCAAAAACTAAAACATTGATTTTCTGGTAATTTATTGATAGATTGCTTGAAAGATAAATTTCATTTTTTCAGAGTTTTTTCCAAGCAGAAATTCTCTAGTCTGGGGTTGTTGTTTTTTTTAATGTGGGACTTGATATTGTCATGGTTTACTTTTGTGTGGATAAGCTGTTGGGCTAAGAGCAGGGAGACTCAGGTTCTAGTCCAGTGTTTTTCAAACTTGGCAAGTTGAAGATGTGTGGACTTCAACTCCCAGAATTCCCCAGCCAGGGAGTTGAAGTCCTCCCTTCAGGCAACCACATTTTCAGGTTGCCAAGTTTGAAAAGCACTGTTCTAGTCCATCCTCAGGCACAGAAGTTGACTAGGTGACATTGCGCCAGTGAGTCTTGCTCAGCTCAACCTGCCTCATAGGTTGATGGGAGGAAAAATAAGAGGATGCCATATCATGTCACCTTGTGCCCCTGAACACAAGGCACTGTATAAATCTAACAAGCCAGGGTCATCAACAAAATGCCTACAGGCACTATAGCATGACTCCTTTGAAACGGTCTGGGAGACCCAAGTTAAATTAAAATTAAGGTTAAAAAAAAGCCAACCATTGCAAAATAGCATCAAATTGTCAATATTAGGTTCTATGGTCTGAAAAATAAAGCACAGATGACTTCTGTGACAATCACAGGATAATCTAGCACATAAACTACACATTACACATGGGTGTTAGTGATTTATAGAAATGTAGCTGCAATCAAACAATTATATTCCTCCCTCCCCCTCCCCCCCCCGTTATAATTTCTTGAGAAGAAATGGTGACCACGTTAGATATAAGAAATGTCGAAAGCCAGTGCAGGTAGTACCTTGAAGTTGTACAAAAGCCTCTGTGCATTTTGGATCTCTTTCTAGAGGAAGCTGTACACTACAGAAATAGGCGGACAAAAATCATTCAAGCTAAGACGCAGCATTGGTCTTTGTTATGTTGCTGAAACAGAGTCCCCCGTACAAAAATACTACGCCTGAAGAAAATGCACCAACTCCCTCATTTCCTTTAGGACCATCCAGTCATGCATCGCAGCCCTGCAGTAAGTTATATCTGAAAATTAGCCCCTGAAGAATAGGGCAACATGGGCAGGAATTGGAAAAAACAAACCTCCTCAAATAAGAAAAAAAGTGGATTATAAAACACTTTGGTTATGCAAGGGCTGCAAACCTATTTCAGGAGCAGATCTTCAGTCTGGAAGTATCCCAGCATGCCTTGCATTGTTTTGCGTATTAGTCTGTTCCAAGCTGTTTCTGATTTGGGAGTGTTCCATGCTCCCACCATGGGAAAAACACAAAAAGTCTTGTGATATCTATAGTGTTTTATTTTTAACAGAAATATATTGACAAATTTTGTTATGGGGGGATAACACACACGCCACATTATGTAAAATCACTGTAGAGCTTTGAAAAAACAACAAGGCCTTTAAAGGGACCAATTCTTGACAAACTCTTCTGTACCATTCTGGAAACCCCAATAAAATCAGCAAAATTCCCCAAACTCAAACACCTGTATTATTTAAATTGTTTACAGTAAAAACAAAAGCTAATTAATGAACG